ATCATTTTCATCCTTATTTACACTTTCAATTTCTCACACGAGAGAAACTATTCGGTATTTACACATGTGTGTCCTAGAAGTGTCCATATCTTAAAAGAGTAGTTTACTTTGTATCCAAAATTTTTTTTCATTTCAACACTTATGGTTTGTTTGCATATCTTAAGAGAACTTAGCCAAGATGGTGAGGATGCATAGTTTTCACTTCTGAATACTAGGGAAGAATTGGCTGGGAACCATTGTTGTAGGTTATATACAAAATGGACACTGTTCACAGGTGATCCCTGATTGACTGCAATGTTTTATAATTGTTGCTTTCTTATTCTAGAAAAAAGATAATGAACATTAGCTTAGAAAAATAGAAAGAATATTGAACACTGGGTATTCAAAAACTTAAGTTCTAATCTGACTCTTGGACTAGGAAAAACTAAAATCATTCTGGGTATTGTGCTCGTTGTCCATCAGATGGAGGAAGATTAGACTCTAGATTTATTTACAGCCCTTCCAATTCTGACACATTATAATACTTGAGCCAAAAACTATCTTGACACAGGTATTTTCCAAAAATTGAAAACCAAATATTTACATCATAATGAACAGCAATTTACAGGAAACTCAGTAAGCATTCTTTTGAATACCGATTTACAGAAAACTCAGTAAGCATTCTACTAATAGAAATTTATCAAAGATTTTTGTCTATGCTCTTTAAATCAACAGAAAAATATCTCTTAAATAGTGAGGAGATAAGCTATTAGAATACTATTCTAATCAAAATTGCTTAAAACTTTTACTATATATTAATATGCCATAAAAATGTGAGTTTAAGTTGGACAAAAAGAGAAACACTTCTTATAACAGACTAAGATATGATCTTATACACAAAAGTTTCCAATTTGATGTGATTTTATAGGTTCTTGGAAAGTTTCCATTTCACAGAATAAAGGTAGAATCCATAGTTGTAGGTAATATGTGAAGAGGACACTCTCTACATGTGATCTTTGATTGTAGTGTTTTGTAATTATTACTTTCTTATTCCAGACCAAAACAAACAAACAATTAGTGAAAAAAACATCATTTTAGAGAAACAGAAGCCTAGTGGCCCAAGGGCTACCATTAGAGATTCATTCTTTGATTTACTATTGTAGGAAAATGCAAAGTAGTCCTTAAACATAAGCTTTTTTGGTACTCTGTATGTTTTATCTTATAGGTAGGTTCATTGTGAGAGAATTCATAGGAATGTAAAGATGGTTTAAGGGTAGGTAAATGACTTTATTTTATGAGTCATTTCCATTTCTAACTGTAACATTTGCTTTCATTTTATTTTATTTCACATTCTTTTGTGTCTGCACCAGCTACTCCCCTACTACCAATAACTTTTCTGATCTACTGACTCTGACCAATGCTTATACATTTTTGAAGCTCAGATGCAAGAGTTAGTTTTTCTTTAAAACTGCCTTTGATCTCATAATCTGTTCCTGGGGCATCTATGTAAAATTTAAGCTCAATAAATATTCCTAAATGCCTCCTATGGGGCTAGGGAACTCTGCTAGAGTGACAAGACAGCATTTCACAGAAGTGATCCAGTTTTGTTGGTTCCTGTTCCCAGACTTTTGAACTTTATTCAGAAGACATTTGACATTTAAAAAATTAGGAATGACATAAAATTACTATCTTTTAATTTCCTAATCAAGGGCATAATAACTGGCATTGGTCACTTATTTTTTTTTTTAGCAAAGAAAGGATATTTTGACCTCAGAATATACATATTTCAATATTTTGAAACAGTTAATAAATTAGGTTTTATGAAAAACCTCATGAGGAAGCAGGGTCTGCATAACCAGGGAATAGGGATTGGATAAACCACTGGATTACATATGTTTTGGGTTCTGTTTAGTGGTTCTTAGATGCTATGACTCAGTTTTGCATTTCTAGTGCAGTGCCCCTTGCTTAGGAGGAAATATTCAGTTAACATTAGCAAATACCTCTGAGCCCTACAGTAATGCCTACAGCACAGGCACATGTGAGAGGACAGCAGCAATGGTCAGACAGTGGTCAGAGGGGTGTGCATGTTTGTGAATTGCTTTAATTTACTTCACAAGTTTACCAGGCAGCAATCATTCAGAAGATTTTGCACAGAATCATTTAGTGAGAGTGTCCTGTAGTAGAACAGAAAGATCAGAAACAGGAAGAAAGCAGGGCGCATTCACTGTAGATAGGAATTAATTCTCTTCCCAGGATACCATCTAAATAAGAACATTCCAAGTGATCTCTGACTTGGATGAGAAACCATGCTAACTCTAGGTACAGTAAATAGATAATGAATAGATAATTCATTCAGTTTTTATTATGGATCAGATACTATTCTAGTGTTTTTAAATGAATTATCTCCTTTAATCATTACAACAATTTGTTGAGATAGATTTATTCCCTTGTGCAGAGGAGGAAATTGAGGCTGGCAGTGGTGAAATGATTTGCCCAGGACTTCACAGCCAGAGATGGAGGCAGGTCTCATGGCTCCTCTAGTTGTCTTTAGAGCACATCAAAACTCTCAGGTGCCCTTCCAGCCACGGTATTTTTTGGATAAGTACAGTTTTATAGAACTTGATTTTCACTTTGAAAGTAAAGAGAAAATTTAAATATTTCTTCGTAGTCAGGGTTTTAAAGCCATAGGGGAACTCAGATTTTATACTTAAAAACTGTTTCCTCAACCTCTTTGAACTTTAATTTCTATATATCTGTAATGGGAATGAAAAGCTTTATCTCTGTTTTTGGAAGGATTAAATAGAGTGTATGTTAAACAGGTAACAAAGGGTCTTGATTATGAAGAAGCTTTAATAAATGTTAATTTATTATGGAGCCTACTAAGATAAAATGAATTTTTCAAATTAAAATCATATCAAATATTAGCAACAGGGCAAGAGCAAATAGATCATTGCTCTGGTAGATAAAGGTGCCTATATTTACACAATTCTTTATAGAGCCATGAGGATTATCTTTGCTGAAGCCCTCATTTTAATTGAGAGCATAAAGATCAGACATTTCAGCATCGGAGGAAATTTATATTTGATTTACACCACAGATGCATATGTTCAGCTTCCAAACATTCCATTTCTTGGCTAAATATATAACAAGCTACTTCAGCAAACCTGGTATTAGAAAACAAATGGAAAATGCTTAATCATTTAAAAAGATATAGCAAAGACCAGAAAGGCCAAAGAATGCACATGACCCAGCAGGAAGTCTCTACTTTTTAAAAGGCTGACAAATGGCTTCAATTAGAAAGGCAGGATACAGAGCTCAAATAATCCATCTTTATCATTTTTTAACACACAAAATATACAGAAATAAATGTACATATCTATGTTTAATCTCATTTTTGGTTAAAGTATTTTTCAAGGAGAAAATCAAATAGCAGAGCAATGTGTAAAATGTGAACTTATTTTGTAAAATCAATGTCTAGCCCCACACTTCTCTGAGCATGCATTTGTGTAGATGTTTATGGGGACAGAGAGGATGTGACATGACAGGATGTCACACTGGATACCTCAAACTAGGGCCCTTTGGAGGCAGATTTTTCTTTCTTAATCATCTTTGCATTTCTTTGCCAAATGTATTAAAGTATATATTACTTTGAGTACAGTGTATATTACTTGGAAACAAAATCAATAAAAATATAAAGAAAAATATAAATTTCTTATTATTCATTTACTCATTCATTCATTAATGTGTTAATCACTCAATATTTATTGAATCTTCACTAGAGACCATTTAAATGAACTAAGTTGGTCTTCTCTGTTGACCGTCAGCCCTGGCTTTTTCAGAGAACTACTGATACCTTTGGCTTTACTTATGGGATTGGCAATGTAATTCTCTGCTCTTATAATCTGGCCCTATTCCCCTTTGGGATTAACAGAGTGTATTAATTTTAAATCACCTGGAGTTAATTTTGATCTTTTCCTTCTCACCTACCAGCTGTGGTCAAAGAATGTGGTGGATGTTTAAATTAAAAAAAATCTATTACAGTAAATACCACATTGCCATTAATCATCTTCAAAGTACTCTTTCTCAATTCAAACACATGTATCTCATTGTTTTTGCCACTTTCTGAAGCAGTTCTGGAAGTCCTCTTTTATGTGTTTTTAATTGTGCTGCTCTTGCTTTCTTTGTGTCCTAAATAGATTCAAAATGTTTACCTTTCATGGTTATTCTGACCTTGGAGAAGAGTAACCAGTCTCATAATTCCAGATCCACTGAATAAGGTGGATGAGGACATATTATAATGTTTTTATTTGACAGGAATTGCCATAAATGGTTGATCAGTGGGGGTAATCAAAAATACGGTAAATATTTAAATTTTTAAAAATGTATTATAATAAAAGACACATCACCAAGAATGATGAGATAAGTGTGTTCCAAGTGAGGTGGTATTTTGAATATCTGGGGAGATAACGACAATGTTTTGTTTACTACAATAAGATTGTACAAATTTGAACACATTTTTGAGCACCCCTTGTATAGTTAGTACATTACAGAGAGGATGAACTACATATGTCTATTGGTATTAAGAACATGGAATAAGAAGAGCATGAATAAAATGTGCAGAGTTTCAGCTCTGACTTCAACTAAACAGATGGTTCCTTTTGGTATGTTACGTCCTTCCTTTAGAACGTCAGCAGTATCTTCTCTTCTCAAGTAACGATACCTGTTCGACAGAACAGCTAAAAAGCTCAAATAGGATGATACATGGAAAGTCTAAAATCACCACTGATGGATAAATATCTATTAAAATTTCTTCCTAAAGAATTTTTGATTTTACCTCTCAATAGAGGACAGTAACACATATTTACAAATGTTTGCAGATTTCCACTTGAGGCAAGACTGTAATAAATTTGAATGACACTTAGAAGCCTTAGTAAATCCCCAAAATAACAGTTGACATGGTAGGCAAATGTGAGCCTTCCTGTAATGACATCAAACCCGATTAATCAACAAGCAAAGCTGACCTGGTGTAGTCATCTTCAACAAGCATGTGCTTTGGAATTGGCGAGTACCTTCCTGGAGAGATAGGTGGCAGGGAGGTTTTGTATTCTAAAGTGCCATTGTTGCCAGAGAGTAGATGGTTTTCCATTGGTGGAGAATAAGCTACGGGATTGGGAAAAATAAAGAAATGAAATGAAACCTGTTATGTGGGTGATTCAACGTGTTATGCTATACTTTAGAGGATAGGTTAAAAATAGAATGGCTTTGCTACATGCCAAGGATTTTCTTGTCCTCCAGGAGGTGTGAGTTGGTGTTTGTTTACATTTAATATACATAAGCATATGGTGACCTCTAGGATAGGATAGCTGTAATAAAGCCCAGTTAGTATAATTATGTGAACAAAAGAATTGGAGGAGAGACCCAGCACACATATTTTCAGAATGATAATTATTTTTCTACAGAAATAAAAATGTTCCTTTTCTAGTTGCAGAGCTCTCATTCTTTTTACGTAATTAATATTCAATCATCAAAAGTAAAAGCCTCATGAGGAATAAGTTCTTATATAAGACTTTCTCCCAAACTATGCTATATTATCATCATAGAAAAGCTAAGATCTCTGCCTTTTCTTTCCATTTCTCTTCCTTAATTCATGACCTTTTTTATTTTTATGTTTATTTTTTGGTACCGGAGATCAAACTTGGGAGCTTGAGTTATGAGGCAGGCATAATTCATCATCTTTTTAAGCAACTGAACACACTATCTTACTTGTCTCCGGACTTCACTCTCTCTTCAGATCCACTTGATATATTATAAATTAAACCCTCCTGAAATCCAGATTTAATCACGTTGTTCTCTTGCTTAAACATTCTCCATTTAACACTTTTTTATTGAATATAGTATAAATTCCCTTATCATTCTTACAAAATTGATTCATTTCAATATTTCCCTTACTCTTATCCTGTATCCTCAAACAGAACCTGCATTTCCCAATATCTGTACCTTTGTTCCACTGAAACTATCTACAATTAATTTCTCCTTCCCTATCTCAAATGTTGTACTCACAATTCTTCAAGATACAAGTCAAATGGTGCCCTCTGCATAAAGACTTTTCTATCATACCCAGATAGATGATTTATCTCCCTCCCTTGAGTCCCTAAAGAAAATGTATTTTTTATCTCTATTTCATATATACCTCTTATTCTACCAAATGTTGCAGCTATGTATGATTTGAATTAGCTTACTTTTCAACCAAACTCCTAGAAAAAAGGCCATGATGGTATCCCCTCTACATTTCACAACATTACCTTTCAAAGCATCACATACATATTAATGTATTCAATACATATTTCTTGAACTGATTAGAAAGTTTTGTTTTCTAACTTTTCTCTCTTTGACATTGACCTTATATGCCCTTTATGAGATGACTCATAGATTCTTAGAGTTGATTTTTCTAAATTTATCCAGTTTGTAAAAATCTGAAAGTTAAAATTCCTTCCTATCTTAAGGTAAGACTAGTCTCAGGTTTCTGTCTGTGGTGTGTGTGTGTGATTGATTTTTGGGGCAAGCAATTTTAGAATCATTATCAAGAAAAGAAATAGCTTATGTAATGGCAGGTAACAAAATTATTCAACCCTTAAAATTTTCTCAAGAGAAACATTTAAATCTAAGAGAGGTTAAACAATTTTCTTTAGACTGCAGTACTAATTAGTAGCAGGTCCTGATGATATTCTGAGCTCCTAGATTCACAATGAGACTCTCATAATTTCAAAATGAGTGAGCTTACTTATGTCAACAATCTATTAAACTTACATATAAAGTGAATAGTTTTTTAAATTTAGTGCCCAAAGACAAAACCTCAGAAAAGTTCTTGTTGACCTATTAGCAGGGTAGAAAATACGGGGCTTATGGAGCTTCTGAGGCCATATTTTATGATAGTGAATACATTAATCTTGGATTTTGTGAGGACTCCAGCACAGCAGCTCATGTTTGTTGTTGATTCAGAACTTTCTTCCTCAGCCCGCCTCTACCGTCAGAGCGCTTATTTTTTCTTGCTTTCCAGTAATGTAACAAATTCAGGTAAAGGTAAAAGCAATGATGATGAGTAGGGATCACAAGTTCATTGCTAAGTATAAGATCCCCTTCCTCAGGAATAAGCACAGAGCTATCTGTGGTTTATTTTGCCAGCGTCTCTTTTCCATTCTGCTACTCTATAGATCTGAACTAGGAAGAGAGAATATTGTGGCATGAGAATGATCATGCAATGCAGCTTGAGAAATAGTCCTTTGGAATGTGTTGCCCCTACACTATTGCAACCACTACATTATTGCAACCACACTGTCCACATATATATCATTAAACCATGCTATAATGGTGGACCTGCCAACTCACTGAGGTTCCCAGCTTCAAAACACCAGGTAAGATGCTATAAAGCAATATGATAATGAAGTGTGGCGTACTCTCAGAAGTATTTCCTGAAGCGATACAGGACTGATGGTGCAAGTAGAGGACTTTGAAAATCATTTTGTAGAATTCCAGTTTTGGCCATGTGACATGCTGCTGAAAGATGACATTAAGTGTGGTACTTACAGTGAGTAATATCAGGTGGACCATAAGGATCAGTCATATAAATGGTAGTGGGTTTGCCAACTTTTAGATAAACTACATCAGATGTGTTCTTCAATATTGCTACTGCCTCTTCATGTGTTACTTCTTCTAAACTGTAGTTGTTCACCTGAAAGGAGGAAAAGCAATATTAGAATTAAACCTATGCAGCTGAAGAGAAATTTCAAACAGGAAGATATCTGGAATTATGATATTTGAAGATAACATTGCAAAAATTAGTTTAGTATTTATATTATACTTGGACAGAACAGATGGATTAAGCATTAGCCACAGCAGATAAAATAGTCATTGATGCTATTTGAAAATGTTGTGTCTGACTTTCTTTCTGAGGAACTGACATGTTATAATCAGAGTAGTATCTGTAGAAAAAAAGAGAGGTCAAATGTCTTATTATGTTACAGTTTGGGTGATTAAAAAAAGTGATACATGTTACTTAAAAATAGAAAAATATTAAAGAAAATAAAGATCATTCATAGTATTTCTTGAATATATTTATTTAAGCTATTATGGTCATAGTATACACATTCTTTTGGAACCTACTTTTTAAACAGAGTGATTATTCACCCATAACATTAATATTATTCAACAGTGTGACTTCTATTTTCCACAGAGCATTTGTTACATGGCTATGACAATGATTTAATCTCTTATTATGCATGCTTAGTTTTTTCTAATTTTGTGCTAAATAAATAATGTTACAATAAATATGTGATAATCGTAATCATAACAGTCACTTATAGAGCTGTATTAAATGTCAGACTCTGCTTGCTGAGGTGGTACAGGCCTATAATCTCAGAAGCCCTCTGAGAGTCAGAGAAAGGAAAATCACAAGTTCAAGCCCAGCTTGTGCATATTAGCAACTTAGTGAAGTTTTGTCTTAAAATATAACATTTTTAAAAATGGCTGAGAATATAGATTTCTGTGAAGGCCCTGAATTCAATCCCTAGTACTGCCAAAAAAAAAGCCAGACTCGCAAGCAGAAGGACCCAAGTTCAATCCCCGGTACCAAAAAAAAAAGCCAGGCACTATTCTAAAATATCTTACACATATTAATAAAGTCAAACCTCACAATAGCCTCTGAGATAGCTAATATAATAACCTTCATTTTACAGGTGAGAGAAGTGCATTCCAAGATGCTAAGAAACTTACTCAAAGCACTTAACTAGTCAGTGCTAAATGCAAAATTCAAAGGCAGGAAGTTTGACTTCAGAGACTGTACTCTTAATCCTCATCTATACAGCTTCTTCCAGATAAATGCCTGTTCCCATAAAACCCACATCTTAACAGGACACAGTTGTTTGTGGGATGAGCTAATAGGTAAACAGACTGATGCAGAAAGGGACCATGTAGAGGGACTACAGGTATGGGGTGCATAGTTGAATATTATTACAGTCCTTAATAAGAAAGAAATAAAAACAATAGAACTCATATTTAACTCAATACACTATGTTATATATTTGGGGGAGTGCTGTCATGTATTTTATACAAATCATATAATTTATCTTCTCTATAGATCTTTGATGTAGACACTAATAATTAGGTCCACTTTATAGCTGAGAAATACTGATGCTTAAAGAGTTGATCTTAAAGATGTCACACAACATTCAAATGGCAAAGCACAAACCGGATTACAGACTGCCTGAAAGGTGAAAATGAAACTGTCCTTGCGCTCACTCATTTTAAATCTAGGGCTAACATCATCTTTTCTTTCTCCTGTTATGAAAACAGGGTCTCCTTCAAAGTTTACATGTAAAAGTAACATAAATTCCGAAGTATCATAAAAGTCTACACAATCATTATACTTCTTGCTTAACGCAGCAGTTAGAGTATATTACATCATCCTAAAAATTGACACAGGGAAAGAAAGAAAGACAGAAAGGAAGAAAGAAAGGAAGAAAGAAAGAGGAATGTAGCTTAACATATCTCACTATCCTTTCAAAACCTTCCTCATATATTTGATTAATCACTTATTTTTAAGGCAGTAGCAGTTCCTAAATAATGACAGTTTGCAAACAATTATCATGCAGAGTAGTTTAAAATACTTAGGGAAGTGGGGTGTTTTCTTTCATAAACTGAATACTTAGGAACATCTGGAAGCTGTGACCATGGCCCCAGAAACATTTACACTAACAAAAAGAGAAGAGAAAAAGAATATGGTGGCATAACATAAAGGGGATGCCATGCCAACAGAAAAAGACTGTAAAGGCTAGAAAGTAACTGGATTAAATTATAAGTGATACTAAAGCTCTGTTTTGGAAAGGGCTCATTGTCTGTCTTTCCAGAGTGTAGAAAGTACGCAGCTCATCAGATTATCTGTGAAATAGAAATATGGCCAATGCTAAATAAATTGCACCTTTTGCCATTTTTAATATAGGCAGAAAAATAATCCAAAAAATATAATCTTGAAATGTATTTTCAGAGAGAGACTTTGCTAAGAGACTAGCTAGGAAAATTGTGAGACTAGAATGTAGACATTAAGGAAAGGGCAAAGGTGAAAAGTAGGAAAAGAGAGGATGTTAAAGGAAATAATAGTGGTGCTTAGCGATAATTCAGAGGTTTCTATTTGGTGACTGAAGAATTGAGAAGTTTACAAAGATTTTAGTCATGGGGCAGGTGGTACTATGATCTTGGCAACAGAACATAGTATTAAGAGCACATGCTTTTGTGTCATGCAGACTGACATCTGAACCTTGGTCGTGGTGCTTCTTTGCTCTGTGACCTTGGGAATCCTAGTTAACCTTCTAAGTTTCAGTTATGGCATCTATAAAATAGGAAAGATAATAGCCACTGTCTCAATGGGATATTGATTTAAATATGTTGGCCTATGTAACAGCCTCCAACTCAGATTGATGTACCCTGCAAAACTATCTTTCAAAATGGATGGAGAAATAAGATACTTTCATGACAACGAGCACCTTAGGAACTTCGTGAATACCAAACCAGCACTCCAAAGAATTTTACACAATAGCCTAGGAACAGACATTGAGGATCACAACCCCAGGAAGCAAAGCAGAATGAACCCATCTGGCACGACAAGAAATATGTTGGCCTATGTAAAGCGGCAAGCACATTAAAGTATTTATTAATATTAGTTCTCATCACTATAACTATCATCCATCTCTCTTCTCAGGAAACAGGATTTCTTGGTGAAAATTTTTGCTGATCATTTCCCTGTAAACATCTGTGAACTGATGAGTTTAATTAGGATACTGCTGATGAGGCTTCTGTGTGGTCTTTTAAAAAAATCAGAATAGTACAGGATCTGGACCAAAAAGTGCTCTTTTGTGCTGAAGTCTTCAAAATGCTTTTTAAAAAAGTGGGTTTATTTGGGTTAATTATGTGTGGGCATTGTACTATGAACTGTCAAGATAAAGGGCCTACAGCTGGAGATGATTGTGTGCAGAGAGAAGGGACATTACACTGATTGGCTACTTGGTCTTGTCATTGTTTTTCATTGTATTTTTTTTTAAAAATTCTGCATCAAGTATTTGCCGACAATGGTGAACACTGAACAAATGCCCTAGTTTCAGGGGAAAAACGATGTGCATTTGAGTGAAGTATTCTCTGTGGGGTGCATTACACGGAAGAAGATATATATGTAAAGCCTGGCCATATATCTGTAATAGAAAAGACGACTGAGGCCAAGAAAGAGGCTGGAGGTGAGATGACTCATTCTTTTAAACAGAAGAGAGAGCATGGAATTTGTGCGCCATGCAAAGGAGGGCAAATCAGCTGGAGAAAGAGGTTCCAGGTGACTTGTAAGAAGGGGATCTGGACAATTTTGGGGAAGTTCAAATGAGTGTAAGCAACCATGTATATGATAATGCAGGTGGGAGGTGTGGGGCAGGCAAAACAGGTAATGAAGAGAAATGGGCAGTGTGTAGATAGTGAAGCACTTGACCTTTTCATATGGTTTCAAGAGTGTCAGTGTAGTGGGGGAAACTGGGTGGTGATTAGGAATACTGAGGTTATCTAAGACACAGTACAAGGAAATATAGAACTCTAGAAACACTGGGAATAAAACCATAAATGCTAATGTTAACTTTTAAAATGGAGTCAAAGTGGTTGATCTTTAGATTGTAAAATAAATCTAAAAGGGATGGATCCCATGTAGAAATCCCAGTGATGTGAGAATAAGCATAAATCAAAACCAAAAATCTCTGCAGGTCATCAAAATGAATTGTTATAAATAATAAAATTTATTTTATAAACAATGAATAAATAGGAAACTTGTTGATAATGCCTTTCTTTGGATAATCAGTATTTTCTTACTTTTAATCTTTTCAGCAATAAGCATGCATTATCTATGATTGGAACAAAATTAATTTTATTTGAACAATAACAAAGAGTTTAAATAAGGAAGAATAGAAACTAAGTACAGTGGCCTAATTATGAGAGACAGTCTCATCAGGAACAAAAACCAGAAGGAGAGAAAGAAAGTTAACTTCCACATATAGTAAATGGATTTAAATTTATTAGAAATAATAGCCATATGTTAAGCTTTAGTGTTTCTAGAAAAGAATATAACTTGATATGATGAGAGTAATTTTGAATCTAGACTCAGATCTGGTTTAGGTTCTTAGTTTCATAATTTTGAATCAGTTAAAATATTTTCTGTAAAATGGAGATCATACTGTCTTTGTTGATTTATTTATTTTTATGAGAAAGAAATGATAGCATGAACTTGAAAATCTCTATAATATAAAGCTGTATGGATCTAGAAATGAAACAATCATAATCATATTGAGATACTGTTGATCCTCTTGCTAGAAACAATTTCTTCCGGTTTAGGGCTTTTCTGTGAAAATTGTCACCCCCTTTCTTCTAAAACACTTACTCTTGCAATACCACTTCCTTTCTCTAGGATTGACCTTCTCAAGGGCAGGGACTAGTTTGCATTCATTTTTTATTTCCCCTGATGTATTGTAAATATTTGGCATTTAATAAATGTTGAAACATATAAATAACATTTGAAAATAATGATTGTGCCACACCAAAAGAAAAGCAATCAAAATCCCCCATGTTATAGAAAGAATGAGGCATCTGTTTTCTGCTTTACATTTGTGTTGAGTCAGAGAGGCAAGGAACAGGATTGAAGGTCATTCAATC